GCGGAGGCCTGGTGTCCCCACAGATGAGAGAGCAGAGGCCTGGTGTCTCCACAGATCTAGTCCACATTAAATTAAGCTTGCTCCCTTGGCACTTAGCTCACATACCCAGTTCTACATTCCATTCCCCTGCCATCTTGAACCATCCATTGCTCCATAGGCAGTCTTCATCTGTCAGGCAGATGAAGCCAGCTCTTGTCCTCAGGTGTGTAATGTCATGTCAATGGGCACCGAAGCATCGAAACAGTGGGTATGATCAGCGTGCAGCTGCTACAACTCTCTAGGCTTGTGAGCATCCACACAAGTCACACCTAACACCTCTTCTAAGACCCCTCCCCCCCTGGCAGATCCAAACAGGGATATACCTTCTAGGGTACCTTTCTGTGGTGTGTCTGTGTCAGAAACACTGCCTTCACCAAGGCTCCAGGGTGGAGCAGACAGGGTCTTTGGCTCCTCAGGCCCTTCCCTGTGGAGCCTCACATCCTACTTGGAGACCTGTGTCACCCTTGAGATGTGGGCTGGTGACGGGCTTCTGGACATGCTCTTCTGCCTTTGGCAAGCATGTCCATTCTAGTGACTTAGTATGCCCATGAATGCAGAGTCAGAACAGACACAGATATAAGCCATGTGGAAACCAAGCTTCGTCCTGCCAGACATGGTCGATGATACTGTGTAACACAGCAGAAATTGGAGGTACTCTTATCAGTCCCTGCTGGGGCCCATCGTATACCACCTCTTCAAGGATCTTTTGAGCTGAGTCTGACCCCAAGTCACACGTCCCCTAATTTGACATGCTCTTTCAGGAGGCAGCCAAGTCTCCCCTGTGTAGGCCAAGAAGCCAGGCACCTCTAAGAGGAGTAGAATTGTGTTAGGATGTGCCCTCCCACCATCTTTCTGGGGAGGGAGTCAGACATGGGAAAGAACGAGTATCCCTGTGCCAGGCCAAGGCAGTTGGCCTTTTGTAGATACTAATACCCTAATGCCTTGGGTTCGTGTGCTAATGTTCTTTCTCAGGTTAAAGGGGCAGGATAAGGGCCAACATCAGCTCCACTGGCTCAGAGGCCATCAGGAAGGGCCAGGCCAAGGCAATGCCCAATCTTCACAGGGCAGTAATCTATGCTTTGAGGATACCTTGCAGCTAGTAAGCTAAATGCAGAAAAGTTCCACTGAAAGGCATCTAGACAAGCTGCTTGATCCTGATGAGGCAACACAGTACCCTCATTCTGTTTGAGACACACTCACCAACAAGACAGAGGCAGCAGCTTTCTATCCAGAGTGCCCCACTCAGTAGCCATAGTGCCCTCTGATGCAACAGTGTCTTCCATTCATTCCCAGCTCTGCTGGCTATGTCACCTAACTTTGAAGGCAGCAGGAATCCAGGCCAGCCTCCAGAGCCTGACCTGATGACATGCAGCCTTGCTAGGACCTGTTTGAGAGAGAGAACACCTTTCCTGTGGGTGTGCTGTCTGATGGGCTCCTGTGCCATGATGCCCTCAGCACCCATCCTCCAGGAAACCAGACTTGGGGAAGCCCATACCCTATGTACCAAAGTGCTAGAGTCTCAAAAGGGTAGCTGGGTTCACCCTGTTCGTTTGCTCAAAGTGTGCCTAGACTTCTCCTCTTATGTTCTGATGTCGTGTTAATTTGAGAGTGAGGCTCGGATGAAATGAACAAAGGAATTGCATATTCAAGCTGCCTTAAGATGCTCGGTGGCCGGTGGTAGCTGAGATGTAGCCTGTGAGACAGCAGTGAGCAGTAGCAAGGCTGCCTCCATGGAGAGCCTTGTCCTCAGGGTCCTCTGCATCTTTCACATACGGCCTGTCACCCCACATAAGTCAAGAAGGTGATTACGGGGCAGGCCCGTAGCTCTCCCAGCCTCTCCTCTCCCTATCCCCCACCCGAAGGCTGCCTTGTATTAAAATGAGGCCTGCAGGCAGGAGGTGAGTAAAGCCTTCACGAAGCTGGAACCAGAGCAAGGTTTGATGATCTGCCAGACTCAATCTGCTGGTCTCTTAGGAGCCCAGCTGGCCCTGCTCTGTGTCCCCCAGACCCTCCTCTCAGAGCCTCAAGAGCCACTGGCCCATCCTCCTCACTAGCCTGGTAAGGGAAAGGCACAACTCAGTCAGGCCTTTGGCTGGCAGCCAGGCCCATTGGTTCCACCCAGGCCAAGTCCTTGCGTCCTGCTGCGCTGTCTGCCATGTGTCCGCATGGCCCCTCTGAACCTCTCTGTGCAAAGTTCTGTTACTGCCATTTTTAACTTGGTGTGACTTGTACTCAATGACAATAACCTTCTTAGCTCTCGTGTCCCTCCTACCCCCAGCAGTTGACCAAGCTCCACCAGTTGGCCATGCAGCAAACCCCCTTTCCTCCCCTCGGACAGACCAACCCCGCTTTCCCCGGTACGTACCCAGCTGCCCTTTTCTGACCTTCTCTTCTCACCTGGGGACTCGCTTTCTTTCTGAGCTCTATGCAGTGCAGTGAGTAGCGCAGGCGCCCTCGGAGCTCTGAAGGCCGAACCTTGCGGTGTTAACGCAGTGGGCCGCACACAGCCGAGGCCGGGCGGGTCGGTCTGCCTCCCGCGGTGGGCTACTCTACTGCTCCTCTGCTTCCGTGTTCTTGCCTTTCGAGGGTCTTACGTGCAGGGTGCTGCTCCACCTCACCCTCGGCCCATCCCCAGGTGGCTTTTCCTACAAAGGCTTCTACCTGGCCAAGCTCGGAGCACATCGCTTCTTGGATCAAGCATTCTGACAGCAGCAGTGACCCCAGCCTCGGCTGCTGCAACCCTGCCTAGGATAGCACTGACAGAGCTAGCCTGCACTCGGGCCAGTGGTGAAGCAGTCAGAAGGGCTAGCTACAGCCCGGCCGGGCCTCTGCAGCAAGTGTCTCTCACAGAAGCAGAGCTGCCCGGCGGCTATGGCCAGTGAAAATACACTGGCTGTGCACGTCAGCTGTGCATGCACCAATCATATTTTGAGCTTTCCTAGTTGAAGGGACCTTGCTTCTCTCCTTGAGGGCAAACCATTAAACCTCTCTCTTCTTTGCTCTCCAGGAGAAAAGCTGCCTTTACACTCCTCCGAAGAAGCTCAAAATCTGATGGGCCAGTCGTCAGGTAAAACAGACCACAGTATTGGGGCAGCAGGTCAGGGGGCACGTACAGAGGACGAGGGTACCCACACCTTTGACAGCTGAGTGTCTAGCTCCCAAGTCGCCTGGCAATAGACAGTTCCCAGGGGTGTAGGCTGTGGAGTGAGCCCTGAGGACCACCCAGGAGCCAGGTGGTGGATCTCTTCCCTTGTTGGTGAATGGTGGGCCTGAGCAAACACAGTCAACAGTTGGGTGGCCTGAGGCAGTGTGCACCTACAAGAGGAGGGACTGTCTGGCGTTGCCTTAATTCTCCGGCCGTGCAGTGTGGAGGGGTGTGTAGCGAGAGCATGACTGTGGGGACCATGGGACAGTATGTGTTTTTCAAAGATGGCTTTTCCTGGAGACAGGCACAGACTCTGAGAAGATGGATCTGGGCTGAGTGTGTCTACACCTACTTTTGGTGTTCACTGAAATGCCTGGTCCCAGGACACTGCAGGGGGGGTGTGCGTGGACTGTGATGTGGTGACTGAGGAAACAGCCTCGGGCAAGGCGATAGACTGGGGCTGAAAGTGTTCTCTGGGTCCTGTGGGGGAAATACCATACACTTTATACCTGTGGCCATGGTGGGGACACAGGGCTGACACTGCAGCCTCCGAAATAGTGTCACACCGTGCTTTCGTGTGACACCATGATCATGGCCCTTGAGAGTACACGTGCCCTCACATGGCAGCCGGGGGAAGGGTGTATGCGAGACAGCCAGGAGGTGCGTGGTGAAACGCGGCTGTGGCTGAAGCCTTGTCCTGAGTATGGGCTCTAAGCAGACATGCCCTTCACCACCCACCAAACTTTGGTGTCCCTGAAAAAGGATTGTGCTTTGCTCAGTCGAATCTCAGATCCGACAGAAGTACCCCGCTGCCCCAGGGACTCCTGGCCAGCACGCCAGTAGTGCTAGGGAAGCCTTTCAAATAGCATTTCCCATGTTCCTGCTTCTGGAATGTGTATATATTCCTAAATAGCCAAACGGTTGTACTTTAAAGCTACTATTAAAAGAAAAGAGATAGAAACTCCAGTGTAGATAGAACAGCAGGGTCGGGGTGCATGGGTTCATTCAGCACGTCCCCCTGGGCCTGACTGCTGGACACCTGCCCTTGGGGGTCACACTCTGGCAGGAGCCAATAACCACGTGAGACAAGATTATGAGGAAGAGCACGCAGGGAGCCGGGGGCGGGGAGCAAGGCTGGGAGGATGAGGAGTGTGTTGAGGAGTAGGGGCTCCCTGAGGTTGTTTAGGGGGAGGGTCCTGGGTTCCATGACTACATGGCTACAGTACTGAAGGCTTGGTGCAGAGGCAGGACCAGTAAGAGAGAACACGATGTGAGGAAGACGAACCGGGTTCCCGGGCATTCTGAAGTGGCGTGGGGTGAGCCATCTGGAAAGGCTAGAGCCTGGGGTCTGGACCCAGCAGTCCTGTGCAGGGACCTTTGCTGAGTCTGAACATAAGACATCAGCTTTAGAGCTTGCAGACATGAGCTCTCTGTTGTTGAAATGGGGCTGCTGTGTACAGAGCATACGCTGTCCCATGCGTAGCCATCGTACCTACCACTATGGCAAAAGAGAATTAGCATGCGGGCTCTGAGACCCTGCCGGTTATCTGGTGACATAGCTGAGTCGTGCAAAGACGAAAACCTGGGCTTAGCTGTATGCGGTGGCCTTTGGACAGAATTGTGTCAGAAGCAGAAATATAGTGTGTGGTTTGGCCACTTCTGGCTTCGTGCAGCAGAACCCACAGAGGTCTCTGCGTGGAGCAAAGTGTGGGCACCTCTCCCCTGAACAGTCTCCCTGAGCAGAGGGACAACTATTAAACGTCAGTGTGACCAGTGTGACCAGTGTTGCCTGTGCCCCAGCTGTCTTGGGAAGGCCTGAGGTGTGATGGCTGCCCTCTTTTTTAACTCAGAGCCTGCTAGGCTGTGTATGCAAGATGTGGGGTTTCTTTTTTTTCTTTTGAGAGAAGTTGGAGGTTGGGTTATACCTGGGCTTGGGCCTGGGCCCCCGGGCTGTGCTGACCTTCACCTCAGCCGGCCTAAGGAAATATGGACCAGATATGGCTATGGCAACGAACTGTCTTTCCTCCAGCTTAACCATGTTCCCTTGGTGTACCCAGGTCTGGATGCCAGCCCCCCGGCCAGCACTCATGAGCTCACCATTCCCAATGATGTGAGTATACCCCCTGCACCATCCTGTTCTCCCCTCAATGCCTGGACCCCACTGTGGAATCTTTTCTCCCCTCCTTTTCCCACCTTAAACGGATACAATGCTCGTGAAAGATTCAGACAAGAAGAAGTGGGACCATCGGGGCAAGTCAGAAGTCAGTGTCAGGGCCGAGCTGGGAGTCTGTGGCAACAGCAGCAGCACCCTGGCTTAGGGACCTTGAGACTGGTGGTCCAGGAAGGTTGTGAGTGATATGAGGCCACACTGGAGGCTTGAGGTTCTCTGGGACATGAAGTGGGTTACATGTCAAGGATGCCTAACTCCACTGTCCCTCAATTGGTCCATACCTCGGGGACACCACAAGCTGTGATCTCAAGAGCGACTGTCAGCACACCTAGTCCTCTCAAGCTCAACAGGGGCCTGGAACAGTGAGGGCAGCCTCTTGAGTCAGTGGGGCCAAACAGGATGGTCAGGGAAGGAGAATCCATGTCTTCTGAGGGTAGCTGCCAGGATAGCACAAGAGACAGCCTGTGTGGGGGCCATACAGGGGTTGCCCACTTTCTGACTTGTAGAATGTTTCAGGCTTTCTCTGCCTGGAAGCTGGTCAGGCTCTTCCTGTGCCTGTCTCCCCCAACGCCCGCCCCCGTCTGTGTGTGTGTGCGTGTGTGTGTGTGTGTGTGTGTGTGTGTGTGTGTGTGTGTGTGTTCCTCCCTCCCTGCCTGCCTATTTATTTGTATAGAGGGTATATGGGTATACAGATGCACTTACTCACATAGGCATTTGTGGAGACCAGAGGTTGGCATTGGGGTGTGTTTCCACCCCTGGCACTGGGGTTACAGACAGCTGTCATCAACCTCAGCTTCTAATGTGGGTGCCAAGGATCCAAATACGGTCCTGATGCTCGCACAGCAAGCGCTTTTCCTACTGAGTCATCTCTCCAGCCCCTACAGCTCTGTATGTGTGCGTGCGTTTGTGCGTGTTAGTGTGTCTGTCTGTGTGTCCCTGTATGTTTACATATAAGGTCAGAGGTTAACCTCAGGTGTCATTCCTCAGGAGCCATCTACTTTGTTTTTTGAGCCTCTCACTGGGATCTAGGCTCACCACTGAGCCGTGGGGACCTACCTAAGTCTGCTTCTTCCGTGCTGAGATTACAGGCATGCACCACCACCTGGGAGCCAGGGGTCAAACGACAGTCCTCATCTTGGGTGGCAAGCGCTTTACCTACTCCCTTCTCTCTCTCCCGACCAGCAGAGTCAGGCTTTGAAGAGCCTTCAGTGTCTTCTCCCTGTACTAGCCAGGCAGGAAACCCAGGACCTGCGCCTGCCCTCCATGGGAACCAACTACAGGAATCTCAGAGTCTATGGTTCTAGCACACCCCAGGCTTGAGTGTAGATGGCAGACAGTTGTGCAGCAGGGTGAGCTGGTCGGAAGAGAGCCCGTGAGCCCATGTAGCTGCAGATGGCCCCTGAAGGGGCACTGTCACCAGCCCCAGGCATCTGTCCCACTACCTGACAAGCTCGGGTTCCCCCAATCCGTAGGAGCCTGCATAGGCGTCATCCCAGGTGACACGTGGCATCGCTATGCAGCCTCTTAGCTTCTAGAACATGGGAGGCTGGATGAATTTGTCAGGCTGTCTTCATGGGTGACAGTGTCATGACACCTGGCTCCTGCTTTGTAGATGGAGAAGGGCTCTGCTTTGTATATTCCCCGTCCTGCTCCTTGTGCGATGCTTGCTCTAGGTACATGGGCTTGCCAGTACATGTTCCATTACATAGGGCTTCTTGAAGGCTGCTAACGTGAATCCTGTTTCTCCAGAGCTCTGACACCAGCTTGCATTTAACCTGAAATAGACTTAAGAGCCAGGCCTGGGCCTGGAGGAGAGCACTGTGCCTGTTTGCTCTGCTGCTGGGCCATCCGTGAACACCAGCCAACCTAGCCTTGCCTGTCATCCCTGAAGTCTTTCTAGGGAGGGCAGCTCTCTTTCACCAGCACACTCAGAGCTTACCCTTTCACCCTGCACAGGAAGGCTATACAATCTATGGTGTAGATGGCTCCCACTCACCTAGACCTTTATAGAAGGGACTAGGTTATAGGCAAGGATGCAGTCTCTTGGGTCCAGTGGTCCACACCTGTAGCTTACCATTCTTGGACACAAGGAAGGAAACAGAACATGATCATCCTGACCCTTTCTGTCACCTGGTCTGGCTCTCTCTCCTGGCCACAGCTGAGTCAGGCCAGTGTCTATCAGTGTCCTCCCTCACCTGCAGAAAGGACCTAGATGATGTTGGATCTGTTCTCCCACACAAGCCTTCAGAGGCCAAGAACCAGAGTCCATTCCTGTTGGACACTGCCACAGAGCTTGCCTTAGAACATTCAGTCTGGGGCACTTCTGGCCCCGATGCTGCTCTCAGGGCATGAGAACAGCCTCTAGCCCTCAGGCCAATGCTCAGATGGCCTGGTCCAACAGAACCACCGAGACATGTGGTGACTTTGTACCATGCTCAGGGCCTGTCTGGCCAATGTTCTTTCCTTGCTCTGGAGCACCCGGTGCCTGCATGTGGATATGGGAACTGTTTAATCAGTGCTGAAAGCCCAGGGATGTCATCTGGCTCCCCTGTAGTCTTTCCTAGGGTCCAGGCTGCCCCCACCAGGGAACAGGGTGAATTGAGAAACATGTAAGCAGGTACCCAACTGCAGCTGTTGCCAGAGAAAAGATCCTGACCTCCAGGATGGAGGGCACTCTTATCCCTGAGCTGCCTTAGAAATGGTCCTCACTCCTGGTGATGACCTTGGCCACAGGTCTCTGCATCCATTAAACAGAGCTCACCAAGCAAACACTTGGATTTGTCCCCAACTTCATCTGAATTCATCAACAGGTAGATTTCAGCAGCAATAAACTTTACATGGTCCTTAGTGTCTGTGAGGCTCACTCTTCTGGCAGATCCAGTCTCCCTGTGAAGGTACCAGAAGGCCCTGACCCAGCCTAGGCCAGAGCTGCTGTGGGCTTCCCCAGTCCATCCTCCCAATCTGTCTTTGGGTCACTTGTGACCAGGTAGAGGAAGCCAGCAAGAAGAGTGGCCATGTCTCTTGTTGTATAGACTTTATCCAGAGGGACATGAATCAGAGGCGATAAGACTGTCAACAGGCAGAGCCAGGACCTCTCACATTGTCCAGGGACAGCCTCAGGACTCTGCAGTTCTTTTTTTTTTTTTCTTTTAGAGCACTGCGTTACTGGCAGTGTTTCCAGCCTGTTCTCTTGGGTGTTCCCACAAGGCTCTCACAGATGCTTGAAAGGGATGCTCTGGGCTCTTCTCTAAGAGATTCCTCCATCATTTCTTCTAGCTTATAGGCTGCATAATTGGACGCCAAGGCACCAAAATCAATGAAATCCGACAGATGTCAGGAGCTCAGATCAAAATTGCCAATGCCACCGAAGGCTCCTCAGAGCGCCAGATCACCATCACAGGGACCCCAGCCAATATCAGCCTTGCCCAGTATCTCATCAATGCTAGGTGAGTGATTCTTAGGCTTCTGGGTCCTCACGAGCAGTGCCTTGCAGCCCCACACCCTGGCTGCTCCAGTAAATCCACGAGGGGCGCTCCTCCTGAAACTTCCCAGGGTCCCCACCCATGTCACAGCTCTTCTGTGACAGTCATGAAGCCCCTGCTTAAAAGTCTGGAGCCCCCACAAAGGTGCCCCTGGTCCAGTGCTCCAGCCTGGAAGGATCCAAACTCAGCAAGACTGAGGGACAGGCAAAGCTCCACAGATCTGATCTGGCGGACTTCCACCTGTTGTGTTTTGGGTCCCCGCTCATGGCCACTGAACCCGGAATAGCTCGCTCCCTGTAAATGGAGAGGTGCCCTCCCCTACTGTCTCATCTTGTAAGAACCCTGTGACGTGTCCCTTGTGCCTTTGTCCGTTCCAGGCTGACGTCTGAGGTCACCGGGATGGGTGCACTCTAACCTACCCAAGATCCTCCGTTCCACACTTCGGATGGCCCCAGCCCGCAGCCTCACCAGCTGGCACACTGTTCAGACTGCCTGTCCTTCCTTGCAGATATGAATAGAGCGTTTTCTTTACAAACAGATGATAGTGCGTGTCTGCCCACTCAGGCCCTGTACGCTCCGTGTTAGTGTAGCCTCCACGCGTCGGCATGCAGCTCTTTACTTTAATGCTCAACGTGTTCCCAAATGTGACGTTTCAGAGATTTATTCCTCAGTATCCATGTGACTATCTGTTTAAAAGTTGGTTTGATGCTTTAACAGCCCTCCCCATGTCCTGCCGTCCCCTGTTCTCCGAGATCCTCCTCTCTCGTGCGGTCTGCTGGCTCATTTCCACCCTAGGTTGTACGCAGGGATCAAAGGTACTTTTCTTGAGAACTGCAGGGAGTGTCTGGAAGAGGAGGGACTGGGGGGGGGGGGGAATCTAGGGAGTGGGGTGAAGTGCCAGAGGGTGGGGTGGGACCCTGGCTTCACTGGGATATCTCGGGGAGGGGGCACTTGTGGCCCCCAGGTGTCTTCCAAAATGGCTAAGAACAAGGACTTGCCAGAAAGTTGATCTGCACCCATCAGAGTTTAATAAATGTCGTGTTCCTTCCCCCATGGCTCTGGCTTCTCTCTGCCCCCTTACCCTCAGCACCCACACCCACCCGGGAGATTAACCAGGCCGGGAGTCGGAAGATGTTGGGTTCTGCTCTTGCCAGGTCCTAACCTGTGAAGCTGCTGTCAGCAATGAGACTGCTTCTGAGCTGCCAGGGCGCCATCCACACAGAGACCCTTCTCCTCCTCTGCTGACACCAACACTGATGCGCCACTCCTTCCATCTCTTGGGTGGTTAGCTCAGAGGGCCAGGACAGAGGTGGAACTACTCGGGGCACAGCTCTGTTGTAGCCGCTGGCCCAGCTCCAAGGGCTCTGGTCCCTACCCCCACCTCTGCTCTCGAGGTTTCTGGCAAGCAGGCTGTGGCAGAGGCTGAGGCAGGGAGAAGGGGTAGAGCTGCCTAGCATATGCCATCTGCCATGGATCCTGAGGTCACCCTGGGGTACAGTGACCTGTTACAGGGTGCTGGGGTACGCAGCATCCATCTTAGCAGGAAGAACTGCCTCCTGTCTGCCAGGCAAAGCCAGGTGTGCCTCAGCCCCATGGCCCGTGTGTTAGCCAGTAGTCTCCGACTCCGTTGCCTGGATACCTTCCTTGCCCTCTACAGCAGATGGTGTACAGTGTAGCTGCAAGTGTGGGCCTCGCCCCAGTGGCCTGTCTTCCCGCCTAGCTAGTTAGGGCTAAGGTTCAGTCCCACCCCCACTCGAACCCAGACACAGGGTGTAAGAGGTGACAAGGACTCAGAGAACACAAGCCTTCCTCTAAGGCAGCAGATAGCCTGTCAACCATAAGTACCATAAGAAATGATAGCTATTGTATGGGTAAGGTTCATTAAACAATCAGCGTAAGGATATTAAAAGTGCAGGATCAAATGGGGCCCAAGGGAGGCCACAAAGGTGATGGGGAATTGGGCAAATGAGGAGTCAGCTTGAGAGTACCTAGAGAAAAAGGGCCGGGTAGAAGAGCACACGCATGGAGTAAGAGCCAGGCCATGGAGTAAGGTGCTCAGCCCTAGGCTGAAATTGCTTGGCTTCTTGTTCACTACATGGAGAAGGTGGCAATGCCCTTCAGAGAGAGTGTGGGGATCGGCTCTCACCATCTCCCACACACACTGCCACCACTCTGAGAACTCCAGGGCTGCTGGAGGAGGCCCGATACCTGCCACGCTGGAGGTGTGTTTGGCATAGTAGACTGCACACAGAAATCCAACCCTACCTCAGGGTGGTTGGTGATGCCTCAGAGGCAGGAGCTTGGGTCTACACTCCTTCTTGTCCAGACATCCCAGCATCTGTGTCAGGTCCCAGGGGACCGCAGCCCCACAGAGTTTACTGGACCCAGACATCTGATGCTGCTGAAGGTGAGAGGTGACCATGGTGATGGGATCTGACATCTTCGGGGCTAAGCAAACAGGAGACACGCCCTCTGCCTGAGTGCAGCTCTAGGGCAGATAGTGTGAGGTTGCTGGACAACTGGAGCCAAGAGACCCCAGAGGAGTGCAATGCTCCGGCCGATGTGCAATTTCCTGGACGTGTAGTTTTGTTTTTCAGTGTTTCTGCTATAGGACCAGGAGCAGTTGAGGAGTGGCCCATGTCCTATGGACATCAGGCAACTCCTCAAGAGTTACAGTTCAGTTTCTTTCTCCTCCTCAGGCTAGCCCCAGAACTAAAGACACACATGAGCGAGCAGGGCAGCCAGCCAGGAGCCCTGAGGCCATCCTCTGCCAGCACTGACTGACCTGGCCTTACTTGAGCTCTGAATGACAAGATTTGTCTTCCCGATGGTGGGATAGGGAGGCGGGGGCACCATGTTGCAGGCCCATGGCTTGGTACCCGGTACATAGTTGACTTGATGGAGAGCTGTGTCAAATAATTACCACACTTCACCCTGTGGGCCTGTTTTGCTATGACACAGCTTGACTCGCTATCACTGCCATAAAGACAGGCAGTCCACAGCCCAGGATGACCCTAGAACACATGATAACAAAGACATACCCATATGTGTATATATTTATAGTTGCACACAAAGCTGTTTTGACAGGAACAAGTTTCATAAGCAAAAGCATTACAAGCATGCTGTTGGCTTGCTCAAAGGCTGTGTTGCTTTGGCAAAAATAAACAAAGCTCACATCAGCTCCCTGCACTTAAGGGGGTACCAATTTTGGCAATTTTTTTTTCAGTCTTGTCTGTAGTTCTTTTTCAGCCTCTATATAAACCTTCTGTTTCTCTCCTCTGTATTTCCTCTGTCTTGTCCAAATCAATGTATTTTGTGGATCCTTTTCAAAGTATCACCTTTGGTTTTTGCTATTAACAGTACTTATTCTCCCTCACTAATTTTTGCCAGTGTATTTTCTTTAACTGGTACCTGTTTTGCTTCCCTGCCCTTGCATGTGACATGTGATTCCATCTGCGCCTGACTTGTTGAGACTAGATTTCTAGGTGCTGTGTCACAACAGTTTAAACATGACAGCATCATTCAGTTTGGACTTTCTTTATTTCCATCAAGATTCCACTTACCAAAGGCCCTTAAGTAAAACATTAACTGCTCACACACGAGATTCCCTTACTGGTCTGAGCGCACTGCATTATGTATCTGTCATCTCCTGAAACTGACACTTGGAGGCCGTGAAACGTCTGTCACCAGCATCATGGTGGGGTTCTATATCACCTGTGGAACAGACATTCTTCTCGCTTACTAAGAAAGTTAGTTTTGTTTGGTCATGTCTTGAACATCCTTGGTTATTTTCATCTGACTTGGTCACCGGGAGCAGAACAATGGCCCAGCTTTGGGTGAATCCCATAAATAATGTTCCATTGCCAGAGGATAGCTCCGCTGACATCAAGGAGGTGACCTTAGATTTTACATTAGGGCCAATTAATATCAGGTTATTAAAGGGGACCAGGGAGACTGACTAAGAAGGCCAAAGGAATGGAGATGAAAGCAGTTCACAGCAAGCCCATAGCCAACATCAACCTAAATGGAAAGGAACACAAAGCATTTCCACTAAAATCAGGAACAAGACAAGGCTGTCCATTCTCTTCATACCTATTCAACATAGTACTTGAGGTCTTAGCTAGAGCAATAGGACAACGAAGGAGATCAAGGGGATACAAAATGGTAGGGAAGAAGTCAAGCTATCTTTATTTGCAAGTGATATGATAGTATACAGAAGTGACATGAAAAATGCCACTGGGAAACTCCAATGGCTAATAAACACTTTCAACAAAGTAGCTGAATACAAAATTAACTCTCAAAAATCTTCGGCCTTCCTGTATGCAAATTAGAAATGAACTGAGAAAGAAATCAGTGAAACAACACCTTTCACAATAGTCTCAAATAATATAACATATCTTGGGGTATCTCTAGCCAAGCAGGTAAAAGTATTGTATAATAAAAACTTCAAGTCATTGAAGAAAGAAATTGAAGATAGGTCTCCTGTTCTCATGGATCAGTAGTATAATATAGTAGAAATGGTCACCCCTTTCCTAATGAGATCTGCCTGTTCCCTCTAGTCCTTTACACCGTCCCTCTGTGGGTCTGTGGATTGTAGCTTATCATTGACTGAACAGCTAATATCCACATAACAGCAAATATGCCTTATTTGTCTTTCTGGATCTGGGTTACCTCTAGTTTTTTCCTAGCATTTTTTAGTTCTACCCACTTGTCTGTAAATTTCATGTCATTTTCTTTTAATGGCAGAGTAATGGTCCATTATATAAACATCCCACATTTTCTTTGTTCTATTGAGGGACATCCTACATTGTTTCCAAAAAGTCAACAACAACAAGAAAGAAAGAAAGAAAGAAAGAAAGAAAGAAAGAAAGAAAGAAAGAAAGAAAGAAAGAAAGAAAGAAAGAAGAAAGAAAGAAAGAAAGAAAAAGACACATGGGAAAGAACTCCTATGTCCCCCTTTCCCTTCCTTGTATCCTCTTTTCCAGCTGATGAAATCACCCATTTCAGCTCTTGTGTATTACACTCTTCCCGGTGGGGCTGTGTGGTGGAGACAGCCCACATCCCCTGAGGGGCTCCTCTGATGACCGGGCACTCGCTGTGGAAACCCTCCATAGCTGACTGAGTTTGTAGTTACTATTTGCCCGCTCTTTACAATCACACATATTAAAAAAACAAACAAACAAAAAAAAAAAAAAACAATCACACATATTATCTCCCTTAGCAGAGCCTCATTCAGCCTTTGTCCATTCTCATGCAATGCTCAGCAATCGTTTTTAAGTAGATAATTGATGTTTTCAAGAGAAGTGGATGTTAGATTTAGGAGAACTAAATGAGAGTACCTTTGACTAAGGAAACAAGGAACTTGAGCTAATTTGCCACCTGACTTTTTTTCTTTACAGTGTCATTCATCCGTTCAACCAATCCAGAGACCTGAAGATGGTAGGCACAATGGAAATTCTGTGCAATAGGCCAAGTTTTACAAATGGATTTAAAACCGTGTAAGATGAATTTTACAATACTTACACAGTTCAGCAGGAATTTCTTAAACGGGAATAATTCTGATAGACCGTTTTCTCCCCTAGGCAGTAGCTTTCTAACAAGGGAAAGCTTCACCCATAGAGTAGATACAAACCCAGCAGGACACCCTTCTATGGGAAGCCTCTGCATGCAATCTAATTATGGGGTCAGGGTTCGGAAGAAATCTTAGGAACCTTTAGCTGTAGTCAACCAAATCACAATATTATCATTAAATTATGTCTTTTATGGAATTTCTTATTACGTACATTAATCTTTGTTTCACTCTCCTTTCCCTTTTTCATTTTAGAAAAATACCTGTTGGGCAACATTTTACTTTCCCATACAGAGCCCCCTTTT